ACCAAGCCATAATTAGATGTTGGAATTGTCAGCCCCTCCACCCCTATCCCCCAGAGAGGGAAGTGAGGCTGGAAATGGAGTTAGTGATTGATCTTGCCTAAGTGATGAAGTAGGTAGGGAGTTCATAGAGCTTCCAGGTAGGTGAACACATCCATATACCAATAGGGTCACACATCCCAACTCCACAAGGACAGAAGCTCCTGCACTCAGGACCTTCCCAGACTTCACCCTATGAATCTCTTCACCTGGCTGTTCATCTGTATCCTTTATCATATCCTTTATTTTTTTTTATTTTTTAATGTTTATTTATTTTTGAAGGAGAGAAAGAGTGTGAGCAGGGGAAAGGCAGAGAGAGAGGGAGACGCAGAATCCAAAGCAGGCTCCAGGCTCTGAGCTGTCAGCACAGAAGCCCGACACGAGGCTCAAACCCACAGGCCCCCGTCATATCCTTTAATAAACTAGTAAATATTAGCAACTATTTTCCTGAGGTCTGTGAGCTGCTCTAGCAAAGTAACTGAACCCAAGTTTATAGCCAGTCAGTCAGAAGCACAGGTGACAACTTAAACTTGCAACTGCCATCTGAAATGGCGTAAGGGCAGTCTTGTGGGATTAGCCGTTAACCTGTGGGAATCTGACACTATCTCCAGGTGTCAGAATTGAGTTACACTATGGGACACCCAGCTAGTGTTACAGAGAATTGCTTGCTGTGGGGAAAAATTCCCACACATTTGGCAACCAGAAATGTGAAAAGTAAATTATTCTGAGTGAAAATAAAGGAGACAGGAGAGGAGAACAGTAGGTTTTCCAATATAGTAGTGAAATGCAAATCAAAACCACAATGGAATACACTTCACACCTATTAGGGTGGCTTTTACTCAAAAAAGAAATAAGTAAATAAAAAATATTGGTGAGGATGAAATGGGAACCCCTACGTATTGCTGATGGGAATGTGAAATGGTGAAGCCTCTGTGGCAAATGGTATGGTAGTTCCTCAAAAAATTAAACATAGAATTACCACACGATCTAGCAATTACACCTCTGGATATATACCCAAAAGAATTTAAAGCAGGAACTCAAACACAATACGTATTTGTACTCCCATGTTCATAGCAACATTATCCACAATAGCCAAAAGATGGAAGCGACCCAAGTGTCCATAAAAGGATGAATGGATAAACAAATTTTGTTATGTACAGACAACAGAATATTACTCAGTCTTAAGAGGGAAGGAAATTCTGGCACATGCTACAACACGGATGAACCTTGAAGACACTACGCTAAGTGAAATAAGCCCGTCACAAAAGGAAAAATAGTGTTAAGATTCCACTTACATGAGGTACTTAAAGTAGTCAAATTTATAGACACAGAGAGTAGCATGATGGCTGCCAGGGGCTGATGGGAGGCAAGAATGGGGGATTAATGTTTAATGGTATGGAGTTTCTATTTGGGAAAATACAGAGGTTCTAGAGATGAATAATGATGATGGTTGGACAATGTGAATATACTTAATGCCACTGAATTGTACACTTAAAAATGGTTAAAATGGTAAATTTTGTTACATATACTTTGCCACAACAACAAATATATAGAGCACACTTTTAAACAATCTCCCCGGTTTTGTGAGACTCAAGTACGATCTATGTAGAAAAGCTCTGTAACCTATACAGCCCTTCACAAATATTAGCTCTTTCTAATCACTATCACCCTGTTTCCCCCAACCTGATAGCATTATCTACATGTTCTATCTAGCCATGCTCACCCAGAAGCACACTGTTGGAGTTTAAGTGTGGTACAGTGATATCCACCTTTGTTTTGCTAAACCCTGGGTTCCATGTGTCAATGCAACAGTCTCCCAGAATTCTGGTTCTGAAACAGAACAAGCCCACCAAAGACATAAGTTTTAGACAAGCCTGATTGGATTCTAGAGAAAAAATTCAAGAGACTTCCTCCTCTTACCCAGCTTTCCCCAATGCTTGGTTTGGAAGCAGTTATCATTCAGCAGCAAGAGGTCACCATGCCATTGTCAACAACAAGGAAAATCTTACCCCAATTCAGTTGACCACCTAACTCCCTGGCCTGCTACCAAGCAATGTACCTCAGAAGGCAGCCCTTAAGCAGGTGAACAATCTTGAATCTTCTGGATTCTAGGAAACAAATAGAGGAAATGTAGTCATTAAGCATCAACTGAGAAAAGTAATTAGATAATAAAAATGAAAATGCTAAAATCTAAAGACCACATGATCAGCTTTGATGGACTGCACAATTCTCCACATTGTAGCTTCAGAGATGAACCCTCAAATACTCATAGAAAGTAAAAATATTGCTGCAGAACCAGTGTGATAATGCAGTAGTGCAAAACTTAGAATGATGTTTCTGGAAAGCAAGCCAAATGGAACCTACAAACAAATACTGAGCAAGATCTGTGTCAGCATTTAGGTGCTCTCTGAGAGCCCCAAGTTTCCTTAACTATTACATGTGCTGCTTACTGAGAATTTCTCCTAACATAGGTAATGCTACAGTGCTATCTGAAATCTTTTTCATGCAATGATGTATACTCAGGAGTTCCTGCCTTTGCAGATAGTCCCTGGAGGACCAATGAGGGATTTTATTCCATGGCTCTTTGAGGAGCTTTAAATGCACATCAAACATGAAGTAGTACTTAGCCCAGCCTTGGAAATTTGACTTTCTACGGCCAAGTCTCTGTACCCTCACATTCTCTTTTTTTTTAATATGAAATTTATTATCAAATTGGTTTCCATACAACACCCAGTGCTCCTCCCAACAGGCGCCCTCCTCAATGCCCATCCCCCATCAACCCTCAGTTTTTAAGAGTCTCTTATGGTTTGCCTCCTTCCCTCTCTTTTTTTTCTCCTTCTCCTCCCCCATGGTCTTAAGTTTCTCAGGATCCACAGAAGATTGAAACATATGGTATCTGTCTTTCTCTGTATGGCTTATTTCACTTAGCATAACACTCTCCAGTTCCATCTACGTTGCTACAAAAGACCATATTTCATTCTTTCTCATTGCCACGTAGTACTCCATTGTGTATATAAACCACAATTTCTTTATCCATTCATCAGTTGATGGACATTTAGGCTCTTTCCATAATTTGGCTATTGTTGAGAGTGCTGCTATAAACATTGGGGTACAAGTGTCCCTACACATCAGCACTCCTGTATCCCTTGGGTAAATTCCTAGCAGTGCTATTGCTGGGTCATAGGGTAGATCTATTTTTAATTTTTTGAGGAACCTCCACACTGTTTTCCAGAGTGGCTGCACCAGTTTGCATTCCCACCAACAGTGCAAGAGGGTTCCCGTTTCTCCACATCCTCTCCAGCATCTATAGTCTCCTGATTTGTTCATTTTGGCCACTCTGACTGGCGTGAGGTGATATCTGAGTGTGGTTTTGATTTGTATTTCCCTGATGAGGAGTGACGTCGAGCATCTTTTCATGTGTCTATTGTGTGCCCTCACAGTCTTGAATGTCATTGCTTCTTCACTTATACTTATCCAAGATTCTTAGTATCATCCACAAGACTAAATAAGAACTCAAGATTTTTTGACAAAACTTTCTGCCAATGCCCACAAATCTTGGCTGTGGTTTCCCAAATTCTTTGATTCTCCACCATTAACCCTTTCTCTTGTGCGCAAAGCCCATAAATACTTATTCTATATATAGTCCCATTTGTGTACAAATGCATCTTTCCTAGTTTTCCCCCCTACCTCTTCATACTGCACCTATATTTTTGTGTTAACTCAGGTTCAGTCATAACAGCTATGACAGCATCAGACACTTTACCTTCTGCCTTCATTTTGCTATAACCTATTGGCTAAAGATGTATGTCGCTTTGGGAGTGTTGCAGTGATGGAAAAAGACTCAAAGGGACAACAGTGAGGCAGGGGACACCAGCACAGATCCTATAAATAGAACCCAAATATACAAAAGCAAAAGCTTATGAAACATCCCTTGCACACACCTCTTTTATAACCAGTTGAGTAGGACTGGTTGATGAAGTGAAAGAACCAACAATCCCTTCTCCACAAATGATTGATGGCAGCACAACAAGCCCCTGGCTACAGATGCCTCAACATATTCTTGGGTGGTTCATTGTTGTGAGTCATTGGCCCACCATCACCAGGTCAAATGCTCGAAGCTCCTTTCCAAAAATGGTAATAAATTTGGGGCCATTCATATTCCCTCAGTTATAATGGGAGGAAATAGGTACAGCAGTTAAGCATTCAGTCTCTGAGCCAAAGCGACCCGAGTTCAAATCATGCTTTAGCCGCTTGTTGAGTACCAACAGTCAACGATCTTTTCTTATACCCCACTTGTCCAAGCCCTCGGCCACCTCGCTCCCTCACCACCACCAAGCACAGGGTGTCCGGGGACTACACAAGAGCAGACAGGAATCTGTTCTCCCTTTACCTGTCCATCTCCTCAGCTATGTTGCCGCCTTGAAGTTGAGCGCTCCTCATTCTCTCATTCCCTAGACTGCCGCGACTCTCCTCATATTCCACCAAACACTCCAGCTAAATTTACAAAATAACAGGCACGCTGCTGGAGTGGAACCAAGCACTTCCTTTCCCTAACAAGGCGGAACTAAAGTGAAAGTGCCAAGGTTGTTAGCAAATGACTGCCCTGTTACCATGGTAAAGCGGCTGTCGCCATCTTTATTGTGATCGATGATTCCTCGTGTCGGTGTAAGAATAAATGAATAATAAAGATTTCCACAAACTAAAAGCCTTCCTTCAAGTTAGTCTGGGCCGGCACAAACGTAGGTCGGAACGGAGTTATCCTCAGGAAGCAGCCCAGCCCGGAGTGGTTAATGCTTTCGTGGACTGATAGCTGCTGCTGACGGAATGACGCCAGGGGAGGGGCCATGCGTACGCCCAGGCCAGTTGCTTCCGGCTTACGCGCCTTACAGACGCGTGTTTAGCGCAGATCTCACGCGCCGTACGGAAGTGTGCTCTGGCGCACCGGAAGCGGCCGGAAGAGAGCGATGGCGGGTTTGACTGTGAGAGACCCTGCGGTGGATCGTTCTCTGCGCTCGGTGTTCGGTGAGAGGAATTCGTGGAGCCAAGCTTCAGGGAGGCGCAGAAAGAGACAGGGGCTACGAGGAATTACCCGTGTACCTCATGAATTGCCACAGGAGCTGGTTATGGGTTGGGCTTGCAGCTCTACCTGTCTATCCTGTGGGGCGGCCAACCTGGTGGACTCGCAGGCAAAGTGATGCCCCTTTCCCCTGAGGTCTCACAGCCTTTTTAAGATGTGGCTGAGAAAGTTAAACTAGCGTTCAGCTTCGATGCGTTTGTCTTTTCACGAGCTTCAATCATTGCCTGCAATTGAGGGCGCATGGCAACTGTCCCTACTACTTCTCACCCCCTTTCTCAGAATACAGATTATATGCTGAGTGTATAGATCCTTGTGTCCACTTGCCGCCCTCCATAAGGACTTTCCTCTGCTTTTTACCGTAACATTGTCTAGTTAGATACCTGTAGCGGCCACCTGGCTTCTTAGGGTGAATTGTGAATGAATTTTTAAAATACCAAATACATTGGTATTTTTAGTTCTTATTGATAAGATTAGCAGATTTTCAGGTAAATACCAATGCCAGAGTTTTTCACCAAAGTTAAGGAAAATCATAACACTTGTCAGATAAGTCTACGAACTGCTACTAAGGAGTGCCTATACCTTTTATATTTACCCTTAGTGGTTTATTTGTTTTGTAATTAAAGTCAGCAGACAAAATTGAAATCTTATCTGAAGTACCATGGAACTGGGGTTGTAGGAACACAATTTTGAGGTAGTTATATTTTCAATGATAGAAGTAGATACTGGTTTACTTTCTCACCAGAGAAATGGGTTACAAACTCAAAAGTTTTCATATGTTGTCTATTTTCTTCGTAGTGGGGAACATTCCATATGAGGCTACTGAAGAGCAGTTAAAGGACATCTTTTCTGAGGTTGGACCCGTTGTTAGTTTCAGGTGAGATCCCCTTTGACTACTTGGGGTCTTCTTTAAAATCACAAATTTGGCCATTAGCAATAATGGCAAGGTTTTTACTGGTGACTTTTCACATTCTTCTGTTTTTTTGTAACAGTTTTATTCAGGTATGATTCATATACCATACAATCCACATTTTATTTTTACTAAAAGATACTTTTTTTTCATTTAAAAAATATTTCAGTGAGGGGCATCTGGGTGGCTCAGTCAGTTAAGTGTGACTTCGGCTCAGGTAATGATTTCACGGTTTCAGTTCAAGCCCCACATCAGGCTGTCTGCTGTCAGCACAGAGTCCGCTTTGGATCCTCTGTCTCCCTCTCTCTCTGCCCCTGCCCCGCACACTCTCTCAAAAATAAGCATTAAAAAAAAATATTTCAGTGGGGCAGTTAGAGTGATAAAGTTACTTGTCTTACAGTGGACCAAATTAGAACATGGCAATGTTAGCAGGAAACCTATATGTGTGTAACATTTGTGTCTGATACTTGGTTCTGCTCTTCCAGGTTGGTATATGATAGGGAGACAGGAAAGCCAAAGGGTTATGGCTTCTGTGAATACCAAGACCAGGAGACGGCACTTAGTGCCATGCGAAACCTGAATGGGCGTGAATTCAGTGGAAGAGCACTTCGAGTGGACAATGCTGCCAGTGAAAAGAACAAAGAAGAGCTGAAGAGTGAGTATAAACCTTATTTGTATGCAACATGAGTTAGTAAAGACATATTGAAGATTTTCCATTTATGACATGTTTTAGCATCTAGTGAAATGGTTAGCCATGTAGCTTTTTTACTTGACCCACTTAAGGCGCCTGAGGCACCTGTATTAAGTGAGTGTATTTCTTTGAGAAACAAAGTACAGTTGACTTTAGAACTCCCTCTAGTTGCCAAGGAGTTGATTTCTAGTTAAAGATGAATTCCGGCTCACTAAGCCATTAGTTGCACTAATAACTGGGTCATTAGTTTGCCACTGCTGTAACTGTTTGTCAGATCTGTAATTAGTGGGATTACTAAGGCATTCTCTCGGCTTTTTTCATGAAGTAACAGATGAGGAATTACATTTTGAAATTGGTATCTTTATCTATTTTGCTTCTGAAAATTAGCATCTTTATCTATTGTTTTGCTTCTGAAATGAGTTGTCAAAAGAAATTGATATGTCCCATCCCTAATTTAGGTTAACATTGTCCACCTACGTGATCTTAGTCCCAGCTTTCCTCTGAGAGCAGAAAATACACTCTGTCACTTTCCTCTACAGAAATAAGAGACTTGCAAATCACTTATTTCTCAGTTCCAGAGAATTTACAGTTATCAACGGGTCCTGGAAGGGAAGTAGCCCTGGAAAGTAGATACTTGAAATGATTTAGCTCTTAATTTTGCCTCCTTAACTTTTTGTACTTTCTTCCTGATCAGGCCTTGGCACTGGTGCCCCTGTCATTGAGTCACCTTATGGAGAGACCATCAGTCCTGAGGATGCCCCTGAGTCCATTAGCAAAGCAGTTGCCAGTCTTCCACCAGAGCAGATGTTTGAGCTGATGAAACAAATGAAGGTGGGAGGAGGCATTAGGTTAAGAACAAATCAAATCACAGCAAATTTTCAAGGAGTTAATTGATAAAGTTAATGGAAATGACTCCCTGAGCTCAAATATAAGGTGTGCCTGTTAATCACCATTTCTTGCACCTTTGATATGCCATATGTCCATAGCATATTTTACATTTTGTGCAAGGAGCTTTCCATTTTTGTACACGAACACAACTATACAGTCTGGCTTTTTGTGGCCCATAGATATCAGATGCAGATATTCAAATGTGACTTTTTTCCTAAATGGTGGTATTATGGTATTTGAAATGCCTCTTTCTTCTCTTGCCTGTCATGACCAAAATTTTATGTGCTATGCAAAAACCAATGATAGCTTAAAAAGCTTCTTGAATATTACATTTCTCAGATGAGAATGGCTCTAAATCACTATTAATTTCTAAGCAATAAGTATTGAACCTGATGATGAATCTGTTTATCTTCTCAGCTCTGTGTCCAGAATAGTCCTCAGGAAGCACGGAACATGTTGCTTCAGAACCCTCAACTGGCTTATGCTTTGCTACAAGCACAGGTAGTGATGAGAATTGTGGATCCAGAGATTGCCCTGGTGAGTGCTGCTTGTTTTTTATGGAAATGCCACAATAAACTTTGAGTGGGGTAGGAACTACTTGATTGCTTTGTTAAACAGCTCATAGATTTGTCTTTTTGTTTTTTAGAAAATTCTGCATCGTCAGACAAATATCCCAACACTGATTGCAGGCAACCCTCAGCCAGTCCACAGTGCCGGCCCTGGCTCAGGATCCTCTGTGTCAATGAGCCAGCAGAATCCTCAGGCCCCTCAGGCCCAGTCTTTGGTAGGGCTTTACCTCTTAATATTACTTTTACCTGTTTTAGAATGCCATTTTCATTTTAGGAAGATATATTGAAAGAAGAATAGTCAGGAGTTGAAGATGATAATTTCAATTTCCAGACATGATAGCAATTTTCAGTTTGCAGGGTATATGGCCTCTGAATGAATATAGATTCAGTGCCAAGTTTGTAAAACAAAAAGGTCCTTTCTGTGTGCCCTTTTATAGAAGCTAATCTTTTGTTTACGTGCATGCATGGTACTGTGGTTGACAGTTTGTTATTCTGCATAGGTCTCATTTAGTACTTCTAGCAATTGTATCAGGTTGGCACTCTTATTATCTCCTTACCAGTGAAAGTGTAAAGCTTGCTTTCCAACCATGACACAAAACTTTGAAGCCATAAGAAATAAATACATTGGAAAGCTGAAAATTTTCTGTATAAAGAAAAAGAAATAGGGACGCCTGGGTCACAATATAATAGTGAAAAATTGAAACATCCTAAATGTACATCAGGGGGAGAATGGGAAAAATGTATATTTATCCACTGTGTCCCCATGAATGACTTTCGAAAACATAATTCCATATAAGCAGGTAAGATGAACTAGGATACAATGCTATCAACACAGATAACCCAAACATTCTAAAAGTGAAAATAAGTGGATGTAGAAGCCTTCTAAAAATATGGGATATATGTGTTTGCATATATCCCAAAAATATGCTGAAATGTGTTTAGTATGTATGTTTAGTTTGTAATGATTTATATATGATTTCAAAACATCTGTAAAAATTCTTAAGTGGTTGTCTTAAGAAGGAGATATAGGGAGGCACCTGGGTGGCTCAGTCAGTTAAGCCTCCGACTCTTGATTTTGGCTCAGGTAATGATCTCATATGAGGTCATGGGATTGAGTCCTGCAGTGGGCTCCCTGCTCAGTGTGGATTGGGATTATCTCTCTCCATGCTCACTGTGCTTGAGATTCTCTCTTTCCCTCTCGCTCTCTCTCTCTCTCTCTCCCCCCCCCTCCCCTGCTCACACTCTCTCAAGATAAATAAATAAGCTTAAAAAAAAAAGGATATACTATGCAGTTGGGAAATACCATACAGCAGATTTCAAACATATATATTATTTATTTTCTAAACTGTATGTTTATTTTATTTTGTATATAATTTATATATCTGGACTTTTTCGTAACAAAAATGTTCAACCTCAAAATAAGACAAATGTGAACAGAAATTACAATAATCTATCATTTTTTACCTATCACATTGGGGGAGATAAACAACTTGAAGTCAACCATGGGTGCTACATGTGGCCTCACAACACATATCAGACTTGTCAGTCTCTACTTTTATTTTTTTAATAAAGTTTATTTATTTATTTGGAGAGAGAGTGTATGCATGTGAGTGGGGGAGGGGGAGAGAGAGAGACTATCCCAAGCAGGCTCTGCACTGTCAGCGTGGAGCCTGAGGTGGAGCTTGAGCTCACCAATCATGAGATCATGACCTAAGTTGAAATCAAATCAAGAGTCAGAAGCTTAACTGACTGAGCCACCCAGACACCCCGGTCTCTGCTTTTAGAATGTGGTCCATCTTAATTGTGTTCTATATAACCAGGCTCATCATGTGTGTGTCCAGAGGCATGTACATACTCTGTTTTTAATTTTGATCAGGGTGGAATGCATGTCAACGGTGCACCTCCTCTGATGCAAGCTTCTATGCAGGCTGGAGTTCCAGCACCAGGGCAAATACCAGCAACTGTAACAGGACCTGGCCCTGGTTCCTTAGCTCCTGGAGGTATGTTTCATTTAGAGTCTTCACCATTTTGGTATTTTGCTAAACTTTTGTTGTAGCAATTGGTATGTTGTAGCCACATTATTACGTGGTAAAGAGATCTTGATATAAAATTAATATGCAGCTAAGAAATATATCCTAGGTGGAGGAAATAGTTGATATCTTATATATAGATCTTCTATGTCTGATTAAGAGAACAAGGAAAAGGACTACAAAATGGGAAAATCCAGTAAAACTTCCAAACTTCCAAATGGAATGAATGTGAACTAGACCAAGCTAACAAATAGAAGGTACAGGAAACAACATTGTAAAGTAAGTAATGATAAACATAGAGTAAGGAGGAAGGAATAAAATCTTGTATAGAGGTTAATTCTACTAAATGTGAAGGGACTCAACTTTCCCACTGAAAGCCAGAGATTTGGGTTAAATGGCACATAAAATACTTGTTATTATTATATTTAACAAGTATAAAATTGCACTTTATTAAATGTAATCAGACAAAACTACAAAAAGAAAAAACATTTTGAAGCTGTATCTTTTCATTGAAAGTGTGTATATAGAAATTAAGAGTGTTGCTATTATGCTTGTAGTTCTTTCTCATTCAACACTCATAACTAAAAAAGTTATGAGTGAAATAGTGATTCCCTATATGAAATTCCTGTATGAACACATGACGTGTATCAATATTAAAGTTTTTTATGCAACGAAATTGCTTCTTGTTAATTTGTCTAATCTAGGTTAGATTGACTACAGCATTACTACTAGAGGATAATTGAATCTAAATTGTTCTGTATTGTAGAGAACCTGGTCTACAGAGCTAAGTTGACAAGGAATAGAGGAAGGGATTTTAAAAGAAATTTCAGCAAACTCATGATTTCCATTTATCTATGCAGTTAAAATCTCTTTCAGTGAAAAAAATGAATTCTGTATTTTATACATTTTTGAGTTATGGGTACCTAACTTAAAAATATTACAAATTGTGATGTGGTCCTACTACACATGACAAGTATGCAACCCATGATATATGCAGCTCATAATGTAAGTTGAAAAACACCCAAAGTGGACTATACCCTGTTCAGGGAGACAAGTGCACTTGGATGTCACAACAGTGTCAATTTGCTGTAAAAGTTTCTGTGTCTTCCATTTCTACATTTGACATTGTCATGAATTGTTAACATAGTGTGTGGATCAGCATTGTCTGTGGACCACACTTTGAGTACCTTTGTACTAATGGACCAAAAATAAGTGAAGACATTGAGGAATAAAGTAGCAGAACCAATAAGCACAATTTATTATTGAGATTTGACTAAAGAATATACTTTTCCCCCCAAATGACCATGGAACAGTAAAAAAAAAAAAAAGTGACTATGTAGTTGGCCACAAAATTAAAAGTTTAAAAAGTAGAGATTTTACAGGCCACATTCTCTTATTATAAGCCAATAAAATTAGGGGCGCCTGGGTGGCTTAGTTGGTTAAGTGTCCAACTTCAGCTCGGGTCATGATCTCACAGTTCACCAGTTCGGGCCCCACGTCGGGCTCTGTGCTGACAGCTCAGAGCCTGGAGCCTGCTTCAGATTCTGTGTCTCCCTCTCTCTCTCCTCCTTCCCCACTGGCACTCTGTCTCTTTCTCTTGCTTACTTGCTCAAAAATTAATAAACAATTTTTTAAAAAAATAAGCCAATAAAATTAGAAATAATTAAAAGGTGACTGAAAAATAACCTTTACTTGGGAAATTAAGGAACATACATTAGGTATCCTTGAATTAAAGAGAACATAAAAAGGAAATTTATAAATTATCCAAAAGACAACAAAAATAGTATACTTTATACAAAAAAGTGTGGGAAATAGTGAAGGCAGTACTTAAAATGAGTATCTTTAAATGCCTGTGTTATTAAAGAATAAAAGAGCTCTAAGTGCTGGTTTTAAAAAATTAAGAAAATAATATTTTCGATGGTATGTTTTGTGAGTTTGTAGCACTTATACTCCTGAAGTTTTTAAAACATCACTAGGACTTTTAAAATAACCTCTACAAAGCTCTTTGACAATTGGTGAGAAGAGGGAACAACCTAGTAGAAAAGTAGGCAAAGAAAATGAGTAGGCACTTCAAAGAAGAGCAAATCCAAATGGTAACAAAAACAAATCCATTTATAGTCATAGGATTGGAAATTAAATAACAAGATTTCAAAGATAGACGACACTATTGGTGGGGAAAGTGGTATCATAAATTAATTGGTAGAGGAAATGTGAAGTTTTTCAGCCTTTTAAGAAACTAGTCTCACATTTAAAATTCATGTACACTTTGACCCACCAATTCCACTTCTGGGAACCTAGCCCATACAACTAAAAGTGTCATCATGTGATAGTGTATAATATGAGAAGTTATGCCCAGAAGTCCTTCTGCCACTGCTTTTCTTAGATCCTAAATCTTTGTATTGTTTTACTGAGTGGTCTGAATAAATCCTAGAATGTTGTGATTAGAAGAGACCTTTGAAATCATTTAGACCTGTTCTCAAACTTTAATGTACATTAGAATTACCTAATTAGCTTATTAAAACTCAGATGCTGCTTCCCACCCTGAGACTTTCTAATTCAGCAAGTCTGAGTTAGGGCCCTGGAATTTGCAGTTCTAATAATTCCTTGGTGATACTGACACTTCTGGTCTGGGGACCACATTCTGAGAACCACTGGTTTAGACCAACTCATTCACTTTGCAGGTGAGGAGGCCTGGGCATATGCTAATTGTATTAAATCACTTGTTCAAAATCACAGTTACTTTGTTCCAGTAGAGATAGGGCTATCCCAGGTTCAGGTTCTTAATTAATGGCTCTTTGGTGCCTGGCATGTTAAATGGAGTAAGAGAATATTATGTATTTTTGATATTTTAGTTAAGTATTAATGAACTGCAAACAGTAAAGCTTGTCTTTTCTCCCCGCTCACAGAATGTATTGTTGCTTTAAGGAAAAAAGAATTACTGCTATATGGAAAGGGCAAGATAAGGACTTGTGATGCATAATTATTCTTTGTGTAGCAATCCTCATATCCCAACTGGTCAGGGTAGAACTAAGTGGTTCTCAATCCTGTTAGACCCTGTGGCCTCTTTTCATAACAGATACTTTGCAGTGACTTTTTACTATCCTGAAATGAAATGCACACTTATAACCTACTTAACATGATTTCCAAGAAAATAATGTCCTAACTACAATATAAAGGAGAAACAAAAATAAATTAACCTATAATAAAAAATATTTTTAATACACAAGTGTTCAGGCATGACTACACAAGAAACCAAAAGGTAGCAGTCAGATGCTTGCACCTATACCATGAAGTAAAAGCTACAAATGTAGACAAATACAGGTATGTTGTTTTGGCAACACAAATACCAAAGAGACTATTGATGTTAGTGATGTGATTTTTCTCAAGTGGTGAAAACTCTAGGTAAAATTCTTAACAAAACAAAAAATGCAGTACCCATAATTAACTCAGTAATTGTATTTCTGGAAAATTCAGTACATCTGTGTACATACATAAGTAGGGAAAAGAACTTTTTGTTTACAAATACAACAGACTTAGGTTCTAAATTCAGATGACCATAAGCAGGTTTTCATTTGTGTTAATGTTCACCAAGGCATTTGAGAGTTTTGCAAGACAAGATGATTCTGGATTCTGGAGGACTGTCTCAGACATTGCAGGGCATCTAGTATCCCTGTTGGCTTTTCATTAAATGCCAGCCATGCCCTCTAAATCTTTTCACAACTAAAACCCACACATTTACAAAATACCCTGGGAACAGTATTGCCTCCTATGAGAGGAGTTATCTGGATAAGTGCCGTTTTTCTCCTATGTAACAGAACTTCTGCCACGGTTTTGGTAACCAGTGAGATTAAGTATTGTCATTTAACTCGCTCTTCTGTCACTGAAGCCTAGAGTTTACTAACAAACTCTATCTTCTGTATACCTGCATTGTTTCAGGATAGTTATGATGTTCCTGAGTAGTTTTCTGCCTCTGAGGCCAAAAGAGAACATTTGTTAACTCAACCACTGTCCTAATTTTTTCTCCACTGTCATAATTTGTGTTTTTCTTTGCTTCCCTTTATCTTCTAGGAGGAATGCAAGCCCAGGTTGGAATGCCAGGAAGTGGACCAGTATCCATTGAGCGGGGACAAGGTAAATAAATATTAATATCTGATTAATGTGGATTGGACTTGGAAATATTCTACATCTGCACTATCTTACTATGGCATCCACTAATAATATGTGGCTATTTGAATGTTAAGTTGATTAAAATTGAATTGAAATTAGGTAAAACTTAAAATTCAGTTCCTCATTCACACTAGCCACATTCCAAGTACTCAATGGCCACATGTTGCTAGTGGATACTATACTGGATAGTGCAGATACAGAATATTTCCATCATTGCAGAATATACAGCACCAGTCTAGATTTTCCATCTAGTGACCCAGAGCCCAGCTGTATAAGAATTGATGATAAATCAAGTGGATCCTTTGTTTCTATTTAAGTTATATCACCTTTTCCTAATAGTCTAATGATTCTACTGACATATTCTCTGTCACTCTGTGGCTATCTGTTGACTGAGTAAGGAATTTTAATAATAAGCATGTAACATGTGACTGGGCATGAAGAAGCCTAAATTTAAACTGCAGAGAAAACTGGGAGGAGGTCAGAGGTCTAAAGCTTACTTGATAAGAAGAGCATGTTGTACTGTGGCAGTAACACTAGACACCACAGCAGAGAAGAAAAAGAAAATATAGTAGTTTGGTTGAAAACATTAGGAGGAGACAGTGAGAAAACAGAAGGAATGAATGATAAAACTGAGTGCATACTGTGGGCAAGGCACCTTAATTTTCACAGACAACTGTGTGAGTTAGGTGGCAGCACCTCAGTTTTCAGGTAAAGAGGTGGAGGCTCAGAGTTTTAAAGTTACCTATTTAAGGGGCATGGTAGTAAGTAAGTAAATACTGCTGTCTGAGTAATGTGGACAGGACTCGGGCCACTCATCTCTTCCAGCCAGTAAGTGGCAGAGCAAGACTCTGAAGTCTCTGAAAAAATCTATACTCTATCTGAAGAGTGCCTTCAGTGCTTTTTGTTCTTACTCATTTTGTCATTTGATGAGAAAGAACTGCTTTGGACGGCACAGAGAAGTTTAAGTTACTTCCTAGCATATGACCTGTAAGAGAAACTCATTTTTTAAAAGCAAAATATTAACATAGAGGCCTAAGTACTTTACTTCTTGTCTATAGTTTGTCCACTAGGGTTGGTTGTTGAAGTGACAGAACTAATAATCTTGTCAGATAATTGACAGTGGGACCAAGCTCTTGACCAAATGTCTCATCTAAAGCAGCCTGTGCTTTCGTGCTTTGTGCCCCTCCCTCTCGGCCACTATCAGCAGATCGTATGTGTATCCCAGAATATTTTTGCATTAGGGAGAAATTGGGGTTGCAGTCATATTCTTCTTCCCAAGCCATCAATCAGTCTTGCTTTAGGTGTTTAATGCATACTTCCACAAGACATCTTCTTTCCTGCTATAATTGTCTTCACCTTTCTGGTCAAAAGTTAGCAAAGGGAAATGACTTGGATTTTGAAGGTAGATAGGTGTGTCTTCTTGAAGAGATAAAGTGAGATGAGTTTTCTTTTATAGTTTGTCTTCAGTACTTAGCAGAGGAAGCAAGAATCTTTCCGTTTGTACCCAGTTTTTCTTTTCCTGGAATCCATGCTTCTTATACGCATTTGTAATGGTAAAAGGAGACAGTGACATGTTTAAAAAGATACTTCTTGCCTTCCGCCACCTTTGTGTAGTATTAGCACCCTTGTCATCTCATTAGTCTTTGTTTGCTGTTGTCATGTTTCATTATTACTAGAGACTTGCAGTGGCAGAGTATTTCTTGAGGGGCGATACTATCTTTCTTTGTCTAAAGCTCACTCACTGCATTTCCCATGGAATTTTTTGTGCTTAAAAATATGGTAAATATAGTACTGTCCAACTTGTGTTATGGGCCTCTTCAGAATAAATCTTGCCTTCTAGGTTCAGTACAGTCTCTTTCATGTTTTGCTTATGAACATATGTTTATGTTCTTTGCCTAAGTAGGGGTTCAGAACCATCCTTTTTTTTTGTTTTGTTTCCTTTTTTTTGTAGTGATATAAGGAGATTTAGGTGGACTTGTAGTAGCAGAGGCAAAAATCGGAAGTGGCTGAGTAAAATCATTGGCTGACAGGTTTCAACTTAGGAGGTAATCTCATCACAGCGGAACAATTTCAGATCCCAAAGAAGCTGCAAGAGGAGTTCAGGAACATTTTGTAGCCTGGGGCAGGCTCCTTGGCTTTGTAACTTACGTGTATAAATCTCCAGCGTCTGTATGTGTATGTTTCTCTGTGTGTGCGCACATGCGCAAGCTGTTTCAAGTGTCTGCTCTTTCTCCTTTTGAACTTACTGCTCACCTAGGAACCCTACAGCACTCGCCCGTGGGACCCGCCGGGCCTGCATCAATTGAGCGAGTTCAAGGTACCCATTGTATCTGCGGGTTTCCTTTTGTTTGTGGTGTTCAGGGTGGGACGTTGAGAGGACAAGGGCTGCTTGGCAGTCATCCTCACGTTCGGAACCCAAAAGGGTAGTGTTTTGGGTTTTTGTTTTTAAATTTTTTTCCTGTTGGGGCCACAAGCCTAAGATTGACCTCTTCACACAGGGCAGAGAACATGGATGATATGGGCATCTGTCCGAGGCTGTACTCCCTCCCTACTGGTGTCAGGAGGCTTGGATGGAATAGCAGTCTGTAAGGAGACAGCAGGTTCTTGCAGAGCCATGGCAGTGTTCACATAATGCCAAGACCCTACCTCTCTTTTGTGACTCTGGTCCTTGAACTAAGATTGATTATAAGGAGAACCAGGAGCATAAATTTCTTCAGGTTGCAGTGCTAGTCCTTGGCAGGTTGCTCCCCACTTTTCTCTTTATATAATTCCATCCATACCTCTGACATGGCACAGATTCTGCCTACACCCTGCTTCTGTTCTTGAGCTGCAAGAGGAGTCTGCTGTGGTGAGGTTTCACCCACTCTCAGGTGTCTGAATTATGTTGTCAGTGGTTATATAGAGTCATTTCTTGTTTTCCTTATGTGTCCTTCACAACAGTAACTCCCTGTTTGTTTTCCTGTCAGTACCAATGCAGGACCCCAGAGCAGCTATGCAGCGTGGTCCCTTGCCTGCCAACGTCCCAACTCCTCGAGGTCTACTAGGAGATGCTCCAAATGATCCACGTGGAGGCACTTTACTTTCTGTAACTGGAGAGGTAGAGCCTAGGTAAGCACTAACAGAAGGAAAAGATTGGATGGGGCATCTGGGTGGCTCAGTCGGTTAAGTGTCCGACTTCAGCTCAGGTAATGATTTCATGGCTCATAAGTTCGAGCCCCTCGTCTGGCTCTGTGCTGACAGCTCAGAGCCTGGAGCCTGCTTTGGATTCTGTGTCTCCCTCTCTCTAGGCCCCTCCCACACTTGAGCTCTCTCTCTCTCTCAAAAATAAATAAACATTAAAAAAGTTTTAAAAAGAAGGAAAAGACTGGAGGAATCAGAATTTTCCCTTGGTTTGAGAACAGTCTTTCTGTACCAGTGGTACCTATTTGTCTACCTCAGAAGATAGATAAGTATTCATAGCCACTGTCCAAGACTAAGCACTTCTCCTTGGACAGAACCATATAGTTGAGTATGTCATTTTGAATGAACCATGGCTACTCCATCTTTACAAATGAGAAATTCTGGCATATGTACCTGAACAGGAAAAACTTCTTTTGCATAATGGTAGTAATGATATTAATAATAGCAGTAATGATAATAAGAACAATGATTGATGCTAATGGGGATTATGCCTCTGACTCTGCTGTGAGTACTTTACTTAGATCATCTCATTAAATCTACACAACCACCCTGTGAGATTGATACTAATATACCAGTCATATTTTACAGAGGAAGAAGCGAAGCTATAGAGAGGTTAAGTAAATGTGCCCAAGATCACACAACTAATGTGTGATAAAGCCTGGATTTGAACCCATACAGTAACCCATGTTTTTAAGCACTATACTACATACTCATTCTGTACAGTGGATATCTTACCTCCTCAATTATGAGCACCCTGACCAAATGTGAAATTCTAGAATGCGTGGATTTACATCTCATTAGCACTTTTTTTGACCTGTTTGGTGTTAATTCTCTTAGAATTCGGAGACTGATGTTTGCATCAGTTCTTTGACTTTTTACTTACTGATCTTCTGGTTAATAGTTTTGGTTGTTGTTTTGTTCTGTTTTAAAATATAACATTTTCCTCCATCTCTAGAGGTTATCTGGGACCACCTCATCAGGGTCCACCCATGCACCATGTCCCTGGTCATGACAGCCGTGGCCCACCCCCACATGAAATGAGGGGAGGGCCATTAGCTGAGCCCAGACCTCTAATGGCGGAGCCAAGAGGACCCATGCTAGATCAGAGGGGTCCACCGTTGGATGGCAGAGGTAAGGGGGAGACCACATCACAAGGCTGACTGGTAGTTGCGGGCTGATAATAAACCCAGCTATCTTAGGCCCTAAGCTGGTATAAAGAAGGTAGGGCAATGGGGTTGAAAAACATTTTTAAGGTTTATCTGCAAATCTGCGAAATTGGGAAGGAGAATGTAGTATCATGTGCACTTGAACAACACGTTTGAACTGCACAGGTCCGCTTATACATGATTTTTTTTTTTTTTTGGTAAATATAGTACAGTGCTAGTTTCCTTAAGATTTAATTAATAACATTTTCTTTTCTCTAGCTTACTTTATTGCAAGAATGCAGAACATAATACACATAATATACAAAATATGTGTCAATCAACAGTTTATGTTTTTGGTAAGGCTTCCAGTCAACAGTAGGCTATTAGTAGTTAAGTTTTAGGGGAGTGCTTCAGTCCTCACACTGTTCAAGGGTCAGCTATAGTTGTGGGGGAGATGTGACCAGAGGAATAGATTTCTTCTTTGATTGTTGGGTTTTTTTGCAGTAAGGATAAGTAGCTACACGGTGGTTTTCTTACAACTTTCTTTATAGGCGGAAGAGATCCCCGAGGCATAGATACACGAGGAATGGAGGCACGAGCCATGGAGGCTAGAGGATTAGATGCCAGAGGATTGGAGGCCCGTGCTATGGAAGCCCGAGCGATGGAGGCCCGTGCTATGGAGGCCCGTGCGATGGAGGCCCGTGCAATGGAAGTCAGAGGGATAGAAGCCAGAAGTATGGATACAAGGGGCCCAGTCCCTGGTCCTAGAGGTCCTATACCTAGTGGAATCCAAGGTCCCAGTCCAATTAACATGGGGGCAGTTGGCCCCCAGGGATCCAGACAGGTATGTGCAACACTCACTTCTTACTTCTATGTGAAATCTTAATCTATTCAGGAATTGATAATTAAGCCTGGTACTGCTTTCTGATTTAGGCTATTTCTCAGTTTGTTAAAATGGGAAGATTAGAATCTCCCTTCTTTTAGTTTCTGTGTCCCTTAAGGTGGTTATTTGCTAGGCACCAGGATTGTGGCAACCTTGTCCCACAATTTAAGGAGCTCTTCCATTCAGACCAGAGTCCCTGCAAATTTAGGAGACAGAGTGTGTCTCACTAGAATCTAGGCATGGATAATTTGAAAAACCTCCTCCAAATGATTCTAATGTACAACCATAAGAACTGCATTAGAGCATATGAACAGCTATAGGTAATCAATTCAGGTAATCTTAGTTTTGCAGAAACCTATTTTAATTTACTTTCGTCAAACAGCCTAAGTGAACAGTGGAGTATCAAAGGCAATTTACTAATGCTTACCTTAAAACCTGTGGAACTGAATTCTTATCTCTTCTTGTTTGGCTATTTCCAGCTCTGTGTATGTGGTGATCTATGATTGTCTATGTGTTGTCATCTCCTCCCTTTTCAACAAAATTGGTTGTGGGGAGATGGTGATATACATGTGGCTTCCCTGAGTTTTTAGGTGCTAGCACCTTCATCTCCCTCTAGCCCCTCCATCTTCCTTTCTCCATTTGTCTTCCTCCTTCCTCTATGTACTTCTGGCTCTCTTCCCTCTTCCATATGTTTATGTGTCTTGCTCTCGTGTGTGTGTGTGTGTGTGTGTGTGAGAGAGAGAGAGAGAGAGAGAGAGAGGTAGGGGGAGAGAGTCAGCTGGAATTGAACATGTCAGCCATCCATTTCTCTTGTTTTATAGAATTGGAAATTGAGATCCAAGAATTCAGGTTACTTGTCCAAATTCACACAACTAAAAAGTAACAGAGTAAGGAATAGAACCCACTATTTTTTTCCACTGTACCATTCTGTCCTGTTATCTGCATGTTATGTATGTGTGTAGACATACATGTATGTATGTCTGCCTCCCCCTCTTTAATAGGAAATACGAGTATGTCGTTTTCTGGTATGTGTGAAATAAAACCATTCTCTGTTTTTTTTCTTTCAAGTTATGCTTTTTAAAAAATGTGTGTGTGTGGGCCTTGTTGTTTATTCTGCCCTCTATGGTCAGTAGCCTCATAACAAAAATGGTTTTTATGCATTTATTCAGTCATTCAACAAATATTTATTGAGCACCTCCTGTGTAGCAGAGACAGCTTTAGGTACTGGGGATATAGCAGTGTGAACAAAACAAAGTTCCTGCGCCCCTGGAGCTTGCATCCTAGCTGGAAAACTGACAACAAATAATTGCATGATGTGATTGTATAATTCTGTCAATATTTTCATTGAAAATAATGGTTGGAAGACTGTTTCTGGAGAAAGTCTTGCTCTTTCATCTCTGCTAGCACTTGAACTCATTACTCTGTAGTGTTAGGTTTATATAATTTTAATTAGTAGATTGTATAAAGCCTATTAGATCTGAGGTGAAAATAAATTTTATCTTCAAACCTTTTTTTTAAATTGTTTAAAGTAGTATGTTCATTCATACATAAAAGATATACAGTGAGAACCTTGCTTTGTCCACTGTATCCATCTCCCTTGTGACCCCCATCTCCTACAGATAATTGCTTTTGTTCAACTTCTGTTATATCTTTCTAACAAAGAAGACTGTTAGAAAATATGCATTATTAAAAAAAATGTATATATTTTTCCTTTCTTTCACTGTCCTTGTGCCTAGGGCAAAAGCATAAACTAGGACTATCTTAGGCAAACCTGGTTGTGTAGTCACCTATGTTGTGACTTGTCTGCCTCGAATAGGCACTCCTGGAAACTTGAAATGGCCATTATTGAATGGTTAGGTCATGTTATAATAGTTCAAATTAGTATTAACTAAAATGTAAAAAATGTTATCCTCACAGATATTTCAGATCTGTAGCACAACATTAAAGTTCAGACCGGTCTCTGGATTCAGTATTGATAACAGAAAGTGATAGGGGTGCCTGGGTGGCTCAGTTGGTTGAGCGTCTGACTTCGGCTCAGGTCATGATCTCACGGTTCGTGGGTTCGAGCCCCGTGTCGGGCTCTGTGCTGATGGCTCAGAGCCTCGAGCCTCAAGCCTGCTTCAGATTCTGTGCCTCTCTCTCTCTGCCCCTCCCCTGCTCACACTCTGTCAATCTCTCTCGAAAAATAAATAAGCATTTGAAAAAATGTTTTTCAAGAAGAACAGAAAGTGATAATGAAGTGTATTATGCTTCCTTCCCTTCTTAAACAAGATAGGAAAAACAATTTTCACCATTTTTTGATTACTCAAGGTCATCATTACATGTACCCATTACTGTATATGCTGTAACAGAAAACACAGTTACCTCCTGTTTGGTTTCTGGTCTCCTCCACTGTCAGTTTGTCACCTGGCTCTTCACATTGCTGTCCTGGTATCTGCTCCTAACGGTTTATCACATTTCTTTTTGAGTTTTGATGCTTCTAATTTTCTGGGGAAGCAGGTAACAAGTTAACAATTTGTGTTTAATAAGAGTACCTCAACTCTGGGTGAATGCCTGAGTGTGAACATAATAGCAGAGGGAACTTAAACAGTGACTCTAGGTGCTCTGAGGCCTTTTCCTTGGGGTATGGTAGTCTTCCCAAAGATTGAAGTCACCGAAGATCTTAAATAAGTGATATAACTGCATTTTGTTCTTTTAACTTGGGTCAGTGATATTTCTTGGTCTGTAATTTAGCAGAAAGTATCTGCTGCATATTCTCTCTGGAAAGTTATAAAAAGCAAATGTTGGGCTAATAACAGTCTTTTCCCCAGAGGCCTTCCCATCTCCTTTCTGCCTCTGCCATTATGATCGTCTCTGCCTTGCTTGTGGGATAGGGCCCTTTGGAACAAACTGCCTATGTCTGATTGAACTAGAGGTAGGCGGTATCCCTGTGAATGTAGCTTCCCCAGTGGACCAGCATAAATTATTTCTAGAATCTGCTGGCTTTCATTTCTGTTTCCACTGAGCACTAGTTTCTAGGATGCTCTCAGTTTTCTCTGTGTTTATGCAGCTGGATTTTGCTTGATTTGATGGTATCTGATTGTTCAGTGTTATATTTGTTGATGATGCTGGAGCTATTGTAAGCAAATGTGTCTAAGTTGCTAGTCGATCTCTGGCTAAACTCTGCCTTCTGCCATTGCTAACAGTAGGAAATGATCTTCAGAATCATTAATTTGCTTTTTTTGTTTTTTTACTCATATCCATAATCAGTTCATGTTTTTCACATTATTATTGGATCCTGAATACCTATATGAGAAGTTCTGAAACATCTCTCCTCATCTCTCTTTATGCATATAGGTCCCAGTTATGCAGGGAGCAGGCATGCAAGGAGCAAACATTCAGGGTGGAGGTCAGCCTGGGGGCTTTAGTCCTGGCCAGAACCAGGTCACCCCACAGGACCATGAGAAGGTAAGCAACACTGCCTCCAGTGGCACACTTCTCTTGGATTCTGCTTTTCTTCTTTCTTTTTTCTTTTTTAATTTTTATTTATTTTTGGGAGAGAGAGAGGGAGAGCAAGAGAGAACAAGCGGGGGAGGGACAGAGAGAGAGGGAGACACAGAATCCGAAGCAGGCTGCAGGCTCTGAGCTGTCAGCACAGAGACCAATGCAGGGCTTGAACTGAAGAACTGCGTTGGGGCGCCTGGGTGGCGCAGTCGGTTAAGCGTCCGACTTCAGCCAGGTCACGATCTCGCGGTCTGTGAGTTCGAGCCCCGCGTCGGGCTCTGGGCTGATGGCTCAGAGCCTGGAGCCTGTTTCCGATTCTGTGTCTCCCTCTCTCTCTGCCCCTCCCCGTTCATGCTCTGTCTCTCTCTGTCCCAAAAATAAATAAAACGTTGAAAAAAAATTAAAAAAAAAAAAAAAAAATGAACTGAAGAACTGCGAGATCATGACCTGGGCCGAAGTTGGACACTTAACCAACTGAGCCACCCAGGCGCCCCTAAATTTTTTTTTTTTAATATACATCCAAGTTAGTTAGCATATAGTGCAACAATGGTTTCAGGAGTAGGTTCCTTAATCCTTGTTTATTCTCCATATTTAACAGTCTCTTATGTTTTGTCCCCTTCCCTGTTTTTCATATTATTTTTGCTTCCCTTCCCTAATGTTCATCTATTTTGCATCTTAAAGTCCTCAAATGAGTGAAGTCATATATTTGTCTTTCTCTGACTAATTTCGCTTAGCATACTACCCTCTAGTTCCATCCACGTAGTTGCAAATGGCAAGATTTCATTCTTTTTGATTGCCAAGTAATACTCCATTGTGTATATATACCACATCTTTATCCATTCATCCATCGATGGACATTTGGGCTTTTTCCATACTTTGGCTATTGTTCATAGTGCTGCTATAAACATAGGGGTGCATGTGCCCCTTTGAAACAGCATACCTGTATCCATCCCTTGGATATATAACTAGTAGTGCAATTGCTGGGTTGTAGGGTAGTTCTATTTTTAATTTTTTGAGGAACCTTCATACTGTTTACCAGAGTGGCTGCACCAGTTTGCATTCCCATAATTTTTTTTTAATGTTTATTTAGTTTTGAGAGCAAGCGAGCATGAATAGGGGAAGGGCAGAGAAAGAGGGAAACACAGAATCCAAAGCAGGCTCCAGGCTCTGAGCTGTCAGCACAGCTGACACAGGGCTCGAACCCACAAACTGTGAGATCATTACCTGAGCCGAAGTTGGACACTCAACTGACTAAGCCACCCAGGCACCCCAGGATTCTGCTTTTCAATTACTATGTGAATGTCCTGGGTCTCTGGAGTTCCTTTGGAAGCAATGGTTTACTCCTATAACTTTTTTATGATCTTGCTATCTGAAAATTTATCAGCCTGGTCTTAAATATCTTTTCTTTTTTAATGTTTTATTCCTGAGAGAGAGCATGAGCAGGGAGGGACAAAGAGAGCAGAAGACACAGAATCCGAAGCATGCTTCAGGCTGAGCTGTCAGCACAGAGCCCCACACAGGGCTCAAACCCACAAACTGCAGGATCATGACCTGAGCCAAAGTCAGACGCCCATCTGACTGAGCCACCCAGGTGCCCCTATGGGCCTGGTCTTAAAATTCTTTAGTGGATGTATATAAATGGCGGCTTATCTTACATTTCAGACTCAAATGGCAGCTTATCTTACATATCAGACTCATCTGCCATAACTGTTTTTGGTTTTTTTTTTGTAGGCCAGCTTGACCTGAAAATCCAAGTCTCTTTTTTCCCCACCTAAAAACAATAGCAAATCCCCCATGAGTATGTCTTTCTGTTTCTATATTTGACCATTGTGGGGAGCTCATGTCTGATGGAAAGACTAAAACTTGTAAAAAAGAGAGACTTTCAAAATGGGATCAAAAACTAAAGACTTCCCAAGTTCACAGATAACGTGTTAGTCTGCAAGAACTTTGGGTTCATGCAGGTGTCTGATTCGAGTCTTCTAATCTTAGGTATTATTGTACTTGAGCTTTTCATTGTGCCCTTTCTCACCAGCTGGGTTTTTAACTTGGTTTGGGTGTTTTTTGTGTACAGTATTCTAGGCGTGAAATATCCTTCCTTTTTAGACAGAAGCTGGTGTTGTTTTTTGGCTGCCATCATGAAAACTCACTCCCTTTTTTTTTTTTCCTCTTCACAGGCTGCTTTGATCATGCAGGTTCTTCAACTGACTGCAGACCAGATCGCCATGCTGCCTCCTGAGCAGAGGCAAAGTATCCTGATCTTAAAGGAACAAATACAGAAATCCACTGGAGCACCTTGAAAGGTGAGCCAACTTAACCTGCCTAAGTTGGACAAGCTCCCTGTGCATTTGGGGTATTAGATGCTTTCAACCTTAACCAACAACACTCTCCTGATCTCAAGACTGTCCAAGGCCTGCAGTCCTCTTGGCTACACTCTTCACCCTTCATTAGATTAGATCAGCTCCTATGAAGATAGCAGAAGGCAGCAGGGTATTTGTTCAGTTGTTGAGTTGGTTGTAAGCTTTTTTTTAACCTTTCTTTCCTAATGGCAGAAGTAACATGTGATCATTTTTACAAAGTTAAACACAGAAATGTAGAAAGGTCAGGGTAGGAAGCTCTGCTTCCTCAATCTCATTCCCCGAGCAACCTCTAAATATAGTTTGGTGGGTATCCTTCCAGAATCAGTTGTGTTATTTTATTCCACATATTCTCCATCAAAATGGAGAAAATGCAAAGCATTTCAATAAGATGTATAAATATTTTAGTTTCCAGTATTTATTTAATATTGACTGTGTTGAGGTTAAACTGATAGAGCACCATCACCATCGGTCCCTTTACATTTTAGAGGCTGCGGTACACCTCTGCCCTTTATTTTTCTTGCTTATCAGTCATGTAAAAGGGATCATAATCACGTGACCTAACCTGATTCTATGTATTTGAGTTTCTTTTAAAAACCTTTTTCCCCAACACCTTGTATTTTGTAAATAATTATTTTCTAAAAACAGTTTAAAATTCACATTGTCCCAATATTGGCTGGAATATCACATCGTGAATTTCTACTTTCTACCCCATCTGTATTATAATTCCCATCCACATATTATAATAGTGAGGGGCGCCTGGGTGGATCAGTCGGTTGAGCATCTGACTTGGGCTCAGGTCATGATTTCACAGTTTGTGGGTTCAAGCCCCGCGTCAGGCTGTGTGCTGACAGCTTGCTCAGAGCCTACAGCCTGCTTCAGATTCTGTGTCTCCTTCTCTCTCTCTGCCCCTCCCCCGCTCATGCTCTGTCTGTCTCAAAAACAAATAAATGTTAAAAAAATTATAATAGCGAATTCATTTACACCATTTAGCAGTCCTTACTAAATATGTTGTGTTTTAATCCATATTTGTAATGTCATTAAAACATCCAAACCAGAAACATGCGTCATATCCGTATTTAGACTTTAAATTTTTTTTTTAATATTTAGTTTTGAGAGATAGAGTGTGAGCAGGGGAAAGGCAGAGAGAGAGAGGGAGACACAGAATCTGAAGCAGTCTCCAGGCCCTGAGCTGTCAGCACAGAGCCCGACGTGGGGCTCGAACTCACAAACCATGAGATCATGACCTGAGCCGAAGTCGGACGCTTTAACCAACTGAGCCACCCAGGCACCCCTGTATTTAGACTTTAAATGACTAAAGTGTAATGAGAAGCTGTCCTAGATGGATGGCTAGCTAGACTTTAACTTTTTAGTCCAGATACCTGAGGCATTTTTTTAGTAAAAGAATAGGCTATTATATTTAGAGTAATAGATTAAAAACTATTCCTGTCTTTTACTTTTTCTAATTTATTTATGTCAGAGAAGGCATGCCCCACAACATGGAGAAATTACTCTTTTTGGATAATAGAGGTAGAAATATTTCTGAAAGTTCTTTCATTATGTATTCTTGCTCATAAGCTATTCCCAAGCCGTGCACACAAACCACAGGGCAAGGGTTTTTGTTTGTTTCTATTTTGAAATAATTAATATAAATTCACAGAAGGTTGGAAGAATAGTACAAAGAGCCTCGTGTACCCATCCTTAAACTTCCCCCAAGTATAACATCTTGAGAAGCTGTTGTGCAGTGCCTTTTTGGTTTGTAGTACAAAACCAAGAAATTGACATTGGTACATTTCTGTTGAGTATAGACCTTACTCAGTTTTCACTATTTTTTAGACATATTATTTGTGTGTGATCAGTGGTTCTCATCCAGAGGCAGTTTTGCTCCATACAGGAAATTTGGAAATGTCTGGAGACGTTCTTGGTTGTCAGAACTTTAGGGGATAGTGTACTACTGGCATTCAGTGGGTAGAGACCAGAGATGCTTCTGAACATCCTATAACCACAGGATCTCCCCCCACCCCATAACAAAGACTAACCTGTCTCCAAATGTCAATATTGCGAGGTTGAGAAACCCTGCTGTCAGGTGATTACTTTGGGGATCCTGGAGGTAGACACCTTAGGAATCTGTCCCTGGTGATTTGCCTTTTTGCATAGCCTCCCTCCCTTACTTTAAATTTTTTTTTCCTGATGTTTGGGGAAGAGAACTTTTTCTCCATTTCTAATGGCTTTCTCCCAACTTTTTCTTACAGGTTTTCAAAAATACCTGGCAACAAATCTGGAAATAATTCCATAACTTTGTTGAAATGTTGCAAAAAGATGACTTCTGCATCCTAACCCTTGAATGACTCAAATTGGTGCCAGGTGGAGGATTCCCATCACCTTCTCTCAGAACAAAATCAGTTCATTCTGTTGTCTTAGTTTGTATATTTTCTGTGACTTGAAATAAACTTTGAACACAATTTTAGTATACTGCAGATTGATACACATGACCTTTTTGCTTTTAAAAAGGTGTACACCAAGGGTGAAACCTTAGATGTGTTTTCAACCCTTACCGCAGTATTGTACTTTAATGTTATATTGCCATAGCTCTGTTTTTCCTTTAAGTTAACCACTTATTCTTCTTGATGATATTTGAGAATTTCTCAGAAGCAGTGTTTTCTAGAACTTAGTTTTTGCTTTGTTTGCTTCCAGCAGAAATAATGCAATTTGCCCTTTGAGAACTTGCTAGAACTTCTGAGTTTACTGGGAGAAAATAGCCCATGCTTAGAGCTGTAAAATGGCAAGAAGGACAACAAAGCAAAAAGCCTAGCAGAGCAGTGTATTTAGTGTAGAAAAATCCAATTATCAGAATGTACTTTTGTTTATCAGTAGCAGGTTTGTTCACATGCATAGTTCAGAATTAAGACAAAATGTTGTATTGGCACTGGTTCAAGTGTGTCAGCAACACAAGAGACTGTTGACATTTACCTGTCCTAAAACTCTTCAGTCTCAGTAGTCAACCTTGAAAGTTAAAAAAGCCACTAATTTTTCACATGTTTGAGATGAAATAAAAACTAAATAGAAATCAAATGAACAAAATACATTCATTCTACCTTCTAGATAATCACTAACCTACAGTCTTCCTCTATAACCAAATTTATTCTGGGAAATTAAAACATAGAAAACCCTGAAAACTTTTACATTCTTCTCATTTATTTTAAGAGGACCAAATGTAGAGCATAAGTAGTCAGATTGCCTATTAGGCCTGCCCCTGCCTGCTTCCTTGCAGATGGACGTGACCATAAATAGTGCCACTAGTTCTAACCTATGGCTCTTCCAGCCTAGCATTCTCTCTCTCATAGTGGCATTAAGGAGGAACATGATTTCTCTCCATCAGGCCAACCTCAAGAGGTTAAGAGATGCCTTAATAATTAGTAAAGTTCCACTGGAACTACTCTTTGAGCCTATTTATATTCTCAGAATCCTACCCCCTGGGTTAGGATTATGGTTAAGTGAATTAAAAGCCTGCCATAGGCTTAGAGAATGTAATAGCATATTGCTTACACGTCAAGCAAAAGAATGCAATGATAATCAACTTTATGAGAGACACTGAAATTGAGGGATTTTCTACTCTGATGTGTAAACATTTACTACAACAAAAGTTTGCTGAATAAAATATTTCATATTACAACTTAGGAAGAAAAACTTGCTCAAAACAGCTAAAGAGATTTCTAGGTATCCTGCTCATCCCCAATTTGGGCTTGGATGTTGATTATACATAGGATTATTATCATTACCTTTTCTGCCTACTTCCATGAATATTCTAGGCCTTATTGTGTTGATTTTAGCAGCAATCATATCTTGAAGAGTCAATATATTTAGACATTGAAATCAAGAGTGAAACCTTTCTCATTAGGGACTCATAAGTTTCAAGGAACACTAAGATTCCAAATCAAAGTCAATGAAGATCAAATTATCATATGGTCAGCAGTTGTCTAAGAGGAACCACATCACCAAGGTTCCATTGTGCATTTTCCTAAATCATTACTAAGTTTAATTTAGATAGCTGAAATCCAGGAAGTCAATAGTAGGGGTATCCCACTCAATTCCTATGGAAATACCCATTACTAGTTTTTCCTGATGTCTAATAAATGAAACACAATTAGCTATCATGAGCCCATGATAGCCTTTATTTTGTTCAGACTACTGAAAATGGATCTTATCCTTTAAGTCATAAAATCTGGGTACTTAGAAATGACCGTTTATTCATTTTTGGACACTTAATGGTAGAGAAATAGGTGCTATAATGCTGATTTAGTAGGAACATTCTTACAAATCTGAGTTGAATTGTCTTTTGGGGTAATGAAGTGTGGACCTCTTATAAGGGCCCCAGTCTTTGCTTCTACTAATTCACTGTGACTACTAACATCCCAGAGCTGGGTGGATGGCAGAAATAAGCATTCTGATAGGAGAAAAGACATTTTGCTTATGTCATTAGGTGAATGATTCCTTAATAAATAGGGAAGAGCCAAAACATGGTATCAAACTTCTAAATTATCTTTTTTTTTAAACTAAATGTTGCTAAACCACCCCCCTTCATAAAAATGGCAATAAAGAGCCCCAGTTAAGTCACCCTAAAATGGAGTTCAAGTTTTTGCAGTTATTTCCAACAGAACAATGCAAGCTAATGACAATATAGCTTTAAATTAAAATATAATTTCAGTTACAATTAGCATAGTTACAAGATTTTCTTTCCCCAATGGAGAGCCTAAAGTGAGTCATTCATTAAGAGATAAAGTAATGAAAGATTCATTAAGAGGAAAATCATTTCACGACAAGCAAAAACAAAGCATAAATTGCTAGTCACACTGGATAAGAACGTGTTTAAAATAACAGTAAGAATGTACATAGTGTTATATAGGGATGGGGTTCTTGGTGATTTTATGTTCATTGCTTTATTATTTATGCTTATTATGTTTTGTCATTATTCAATAAATTTTTTATTTAAAAAATAACCCTATTTTAGAAATCTTCTTTGAAGGTGAGAGGGTGGGAAAAATAATACCAAAAGCCTGGGAGAGAATAACAGAGTAAAGCATATCAACTGGGGTAAAGTTGTGTAACTGTTAAACACCTCTGCTATCAGGCCTTGTTGCAGTCATGGCATTCCAGAAGGATTCACAGTTATTTTCCCAAGGAAGGATGGGCTTTGCAATTATTGTGACCTCATGAAGATCAGTGACATCAAAGTTGAATCCAATAAAAAAAATGAATGCTGGGGAGAGTTTAACATGCATGTTACTGTCCTTACGTGGCTGCTCCTACCTGACCAGACCAAGTTATTGAAGATTCAGAGGAGAGACTAAATGCAGATTACCATCCCCATTCCTATAATTCAGAAATCTTCTTTGTTGAAGTAGAATTGAACCTTCCTAGGATCTAGACTGGAGTACTGGTGACAGCATTTGCTCAGGCTCTTTGCCAAAGTCTGAGGACCACATAAAAAGACTCCCACCACGGACCTGCAGGAATAGAACAATAGGGCAAGAATACAGCAAAAGCTGCTATGTTCATGAGGATGGAGAAACTGCCTCCGCTAGGCCTCTACTGCTCCCAACAAACTTGCATAAAGTTTCAGTTGACTCCCTCACATTCTTCGTTGTAGTTTTCTCACGTTTTCTGCTTGCAAGCCCCAAATGTGCTCCCAGCCTTCTGTTGCTCTCAGCATGCATGCATCCTTACCTATTCTATGGAGAACAGATAGAAGATCTGATGCAGGGTAGAGGTTCAGTGCTAGACCCCGGAGCCCAACTCTCGGTTGACATAACAGCTCTGATGGGGGACCTGGGTGGCTCAGTTCAGCATCCGACTTTTGATTTTGGCTCAGGTCATGATCTTGTAGTTCGTGAGATCTAGCCCTATGTCAGGCTCCATTCTGACAGTGCGGAGCCCGCTTGAGATTCTCTCTCTCCCTCTCTCTACCCCTTCCCCACTTGTGCTCTCTCTCAAAATAAATAAACTTTAAAAAAATAAATAGAAATAACAGCTCTGGCACTTATCCCTGCTGTGTGAATTTAGGCAAGTTTCTTTAACCTCTGTTTCAGTCCCCCCCCCCGCCCTGTAAAATGGGTATAAAAATAGTACCCATCTCACAGGGTTGTTTTGGGGTTTATTTAAATGAAAGACATTTGTAAAGCAATTATAAAAATGTGTGGCCCATAGCAAGTGCATATGTGTTAGCTGCTATTAGAGCCATCCATTGTGCACTTATCCCCACTTCAAAATTTCTCACACTGAAGAGGTGGTCAGCTTCTCACCAAGGATAATCTAATTATGCTCTGGGTCTCACCCTCTCCTTCCTTCTATCATCCCTTCCTCTCCCCTCCTTTTGACTTCATTGAGATATAATTCACATGTCATAACATTCACATTTTTAAAGTGTACAGTTAGTGCTTTTTAGTATAGCCACAAAGTTGTGCAACCATCACCACTATCTAATCCGAGAACATTTTCATCATCCCCTACCAAAAAAAGCCCACACACATTAGCAGTCACTCCCCATTTCCTCCCGACCACCTCCTCCCAGCCCTCGACCATCAAATCTACTTTTTATCTCTAGATTTGTCTGTTCTGAACATTTCATATAAACGGAATCATACAATATGTAGCCTTTTGGGTCTGGTTCTTTGCACTTAACATGCTGTTTTCAAGTGTCATCCATGTCCTAGCATGTACCAGTACTTCACTTTTTTTTAAATAGCTGAATAATATTCCATTGTGTGGATATACCATATATTGTTTATCCATTCATTTGTCATTGGATACTTGGGTTATTTCCACTTTTTCACTATTCTATATATATTCATGTACAAGTTTTTGTGTGGATAGCAAAGGCTATTTTCCATTCTCCTGGGTATATACTTAGGAGTGAAATTGCTGGGTCATTTGGTAACTCTAGGTTAAATATTTTGAGGAAATGCCAGAGTTTTCCCAAAGTGCTGCACCATTTCACATTCCCACAAACAATGTGAGAGGAACTCTCCTACAATTTTTCCACTTCCTCACCAACTCTTATTGCCCATGTTTTATTATGACCATCATAGGGGCACCTGGGTGGCTCAGTCAAGCATCCAAATTTGGCTCAGGTCATGATCTTGTGGTCTGTAGGTTCGATCCCCACGTCAGGCTCTGTGCCAACAGCTCAGAGCCTGGAGCCTGTTTCAGATTCTGTCTCCCTCTCTTTCTCTCTCTCTCTCTCTGCCCCTCCCTTGTTTGCTCTCTCTCTCTCTCTCTCTCTCTCTCTCTCAAAAATAAATAAACATTTAAAACAATTTTTTTAATTTGTTTTGAAAGAGAAAGAGAGCATGAGCAGGTGGGGCAGAGAGAGGGAGAAAGAGAATCCCAAGCAGGCTTCATGCTGTCAGCACAGAACCCAATGCGGGATTCAATCCCACAAACCATGAGATCATGACCTGAGCCGAAATCAAGAATTGGACACTTAACCAACTGAGTCACCTACGCGTCCCATCCCCATTTTTGTATATTTATTTTATTCTATGTACTGGTTTCTGTTCTGTCTATAAACATGCTTAGATAATCTTTAAGTTAAATAAGCATTTCCTGGACCCTGCCACACCTCCAATTCTTTAATATTTCCTCCCTTGGTTTTTGTGACACCACTTCTCCACGTTCTCCTACTTCTTGGCTTATCTTTCTCCATTCCCACACGATGTAAGCATTGCTTAATGCTATTGTCCTCCACCACTCTCTCCTGGCAATGTCATCCATTCTCACAACTTCAACTATGGTCAGCTCAACACAGTAATTAACATAATCTCTTTTGTTTAAATGCTGCTTTCCTGTTTACAGAGCATTTTTCATATAGGTATATGTTTTTGGTTTTGTTTTTAAACTTTTTTTTTCAACGTTTATTTATTTTTGGGACAGAGAGAGACAGAGCATGAACAGGGGAGGGGCAGAGAGAGAGGGAGACACAGAATCGGAAACAGGCTCCAGGCTCCGAGCCATCAGCCCAGAGCCTGACGCGGGGCTCGAACTCCCGGACCGCGAGATCGTGACCTGGCTGAAGTCGGACGCTTAACCGACTGCGCCACCCAGGCGCCCCTATATAGGTATATGTTTAATGTTTATAATAATTCTGCAAGTGAGAAGAGAAGGCACTTACTCATATAACCCCCATTTTATAGATAAGAAGTCTGAAGGTTAGAGGATTTTCTAGCTCAAGGTCCCAGGAATGGAAAGTATCAGAACTAACATTAGGACCCAGGATCATCTGAATCAGAGTGACTAAGTATTCTCACCACTGCCTTCATGAAGCCTGCTGTGATCACCCTATGTTGGCATACACTTTCCTTCCCTCGATATCTATGTACCTGTTTCATGGAGTGCATCATTCTGCTTTGGGTTGATTGTATGCATCTCTTATTAAAATGTATGCTCCTTGAGGGCAAGAACCATATCCTATTTCTCTTTCAACCTCCAAACCTTCTAGAATAATGAGTGCTGAACTTATAGAAGGTAACCAGTAATGTTTGTGAAATTGAATTGATCCTTAGTTGCCAACTTGTTCCAGGAATTTATCTAAATGATCAGCTTAATTTCTTTCCCATTAGAATGGCTGATTTCATGGCACCAGGTTTTCCTATATGCTCTAGCATGTCTCAAAACTCTTCCAGAAAGACCGACAATGTCAGGTCATCAATTAACTAGACAATACACTCTAAACTTTTCTTACTTGATGTAGGGATTATTAAGCCCAAAAATAATGCATTTGAATTTTTCCAGTTTTCCATTTTATTCCATAATACTAATCGGAACTGAGTCTCCTTGCCTTGTTTGAATGGGGACTTGCAGGGGAACCAAACGTCTTCTTATCAATTACAATGTCACAACCCTTATTTGGCGAAAACCCCAGATGCAATTTTTTCAGTTTTAAGCAAGAATCTGAGAATGATTCAAATAGTTTCTTCCCCAGAGATCTTTTTCCCAAAAATGCTCAACATGCTGTAATATCTTTCCTAAACTCTAACTCTGTAAACTCAACTAGAGGAAAATGCACTTACTTGGGGTGGGCATTAGCTATTGTAGAAAACTCATTGTCCCACATGGGTCTCCCAAATGAGGTTTTCTGTTTCAGACCTGTCAGGATGTCAGTGGCCTTGTCAAAGTTTAATGCGGCATGACCAGCCTGGAGCCAAAGAAATAAAAGTTAGAAAAAGCAGGTCCTGATAGCTGTTTCTTCCTTTAGCCACTTTTATTTTGTTTTGTTTTTGTTTTGTTTTGTTTTGGCCACTTCTAAACTCAGGGGTGAGGGTGAGGGCGGATAAGAAATCATAAGAAATCATTATTTCCAATCAGCATTCATGACCTTGTCTAACATTTATCTTGCATCTAACTTGGGAATTAGTGTATTGTTTGAACTCACGATGTTGGTGTCCCATCCGGTGAGAAAGAGACAGTAGTTTAGAAAATCCACTTTGCCTAATTCTTCCATCTCATGTTCCAGAGAAGCCAATAGGTCACTGAACCAGGCAAAGGCACCTGTCTCCCTGCAGATCCAGAAGAAATAGATCTGGAATTAGCAAGAGAGAACATAGCCTTACTAAGTGCCTTCATGATGTACATTGTGGTGACATGATTATGAGCATATACTCTGTATTTGTTGAGCAAATCTAAGAGTGACCTGAAAAATCACTTCTTCAGAGCAGCAGACTTTAGAAAGCATGAATGTTCAGAGTTCTTACAACATCCCTTAAGGAAAAAGACTTCCAACATCATCTTTGGTTCAAGGTGATTTTAAATTCCAAATTGAAAATGAAGACTCTATTCTTGTGATGAATCTGTAAAAGTGGATGCCTTGGCAGACAGAAGTGATCACTCACTCTCATAGCTCCAGGGATGGTTACTCTCTTATCAATTGTAAAGAGTTTAACCCATGAAAGCAATGGACCTGTCCAGTCCAGTCCAGATGCAAAGTGGTATGAGGGAGTTACCG